TGATTTTATTTATTTATTTTTCTTTCTCCGCCAGTTGATCTCCAGACTTTCTACCGGGTGTTTTTTGAAATAAGAAAGTGTTGCTAATTTTCCTTGCTATTCTCCTGATTGCCTGCTTTGTTCCTGTTTGTTGAATGGTGAAGTAAATAAGCATGCTGTGCTTATGAGTCATCTGTATTGCAGACACTGTAGGGGTTCGTTTTAACTTCTCAAACACCTTGGCTGCTTTGGTCTCGATATTGATTTTCATGTGACATTTAATAATGCCAAGAATAAACAAGCCACGGCGATGAATAGCCTGACACACATCTCTAACACTAAAAAGTGAAACATTTGCCAACTGCCATTGGTATGCGTTCATTTTAGTGAAAAGTAGATAGCCCATCGCATTGTTCCAGGAAGCTCCATCGCCGTCTTTTGGTGATAATGCAGTAGAAAGAAGGAACGTTCTTCATCCACCCCAGTGTTCCTGGGAAGGATTGGTAAGAGGAGCTATTTTGGGCACCTCTGGTTCCAGATCTAAAAGTCCCATTAATTCTCTCAATAGATGTTCAGTGAGTCACAGTTGGAGGACTTCCATGGGCATGAAACTCGCCCAGCTGAATCATCAGTAGAAAAGATTAACAATTGCGCTAAAATGTATCTAGTTCTTTGATAAAAGAAAAAAGCACATAGTACATAAAACATATGGTGAGAAATTAAGTACAACTCCCAAGGTGCCATATAAAACATCCACACGACTATTTTCTTTTGTGTGCCACTATCAGAGGGCAGTAATTAATGTTTTTGCAGTTGGGAAAACAATAAAATGACACATTTGCAACTTAAATCCTGTCATTTTTGGATTCTGGGTTCATTTTGGATGACATTTTGTAACAGTGGCACTGTGTTTGGTTCCCAACTTCAAAGTCAAGGCATTTTGAATCTGCTACCGCTTTAATTTGCCCCTCGACTGGCTTTTTTTCTCCATGTCAACTATAGTCGAGGCTCATGGGTATTGTAGTATTCAGATCCTTCTACCATGCCAAACTGACTCTCAGAAAGTTGAAATAATTCAAACTGGTAGCTATAACATAAACCTATAGGATCGTTACTGTATTTAGGATACTTGTATGTGTGTTTCTATCTTGAGCAACATTGAAAAATATTTGAATGGGAAAAAGTATCAGCAGCTATGTTCACTTCACAACTACATTGCTGTGTTTTTGGATACTACCACTGGGTGCACCAGAGTTGGAAATGTTCAAATCTTACACATGCTGGCTTAAACGTGCAAAATCAATTGTTTGGGTTTTTAGTTTCCCTAGTCCCTTGCATACACTGGCTCCATGATCCTCTGTAGTCTAACTGTTGCCTCTTTTTGGTACAGGTGCGAGGACCCTCTCCTGCTCTTCCTCTTCCTCATCTAACCATCCCTCATTTTCATGTCAGTCTGCTCAAACAAACAAACTGAACCCCAAAATAACACCCAACCATCTCATGCGTTCCACCATCCCCGTCCTTATCCCCGTCCCTCTCATCGTTTGCTGCACCAGCCCGCCTCCCCCTACGAGCCTTGGGGAGCTCTCTGCCACAGCCTAAAGCCCCCTTCCTCTCCTCCTCCTCCTCCTCCTCCTCCTCCTCTTCTTCTTCTTCTTCTCCTCTCTGCCCCTTCTCCTCCCTCTATGTGAGTATTACTCATGACTACCAGCATGTAGAACCAGTGTCTGTGGCACAAGCATGGGACTGGGCATGTGGTGGGTGAACAGTGTGGGTGTTTGCTGGCTCCTGTGTAGGTCTCACCAGTGATTTCTCTGCTAATGACTGCATAATAACCTCCATTTACATGCGGATGTGGTTTTGCAAATTCATAACCACATTAGCATTGAAGTAATCAGTGAGTTACACGTGTCTTATGCATGGTAGCACTGTCTGTGTTTTTTCTCCTCACTCTTCTGGTCTGTGAGCGCTTGTTTTGTCTCGCCTACTTTTGCCAAAACAGACGAAATGTTCTTGTCAAGATTTGGTATTATATTGCCAGTGGAGGTTCCACCTGAACAGTATAGATGTCAGAGGAGAGACAGAAGAGAGGTACCTCTTGATGTACCTGTCTTACACTCACGGTGTTACAGTGGAGTATGTGTATATGTTTATGTGTGTGTGAGTGCGTTTTTGTCATGTGCATGTTACCAAATCACCGTCTTCCAGATGGAGAATGTAATAAGCGTACGGCACCAGTGGTCTCACGTACTGTCGCATGTTGTAAGAGCAGCCAGTAGAAGAGCAGCATAAGGCAATAAAGTCACAGAATTTGTGTGGCTTGCAATAACTGACAAAAATAGTCTTTAAATAAAAGTTATTGGAATTCTACATCAGATCAGGACACGATTGTATTCAATAACAATGAATTTTGTTGATTTCCGGCAGCTTATTTTCTGATGCAATAATCTCCTTGAGTGTGACTTCAGTGTTGTAAGACATCATGGTATAATGAGCACTGGAAGATTTGAGTACCAGGGGCCATATCAGAGATCCCATTCCTTAGCTTATCTTTCTGTCTGTGTAAGAGATACTATCCTTGTGTAGTTTGTCACAGAAACGATACAAGTTGTACAGTATATATTTTGCATTTTGTCAACATTTGATGGTCATAATCTGAAATATTGATTTCCAAAAGGACACAAATACAGTATGAATTATTAAATTGATTGTATGGAATCAATCTGTATGTACATTTTTCTGTTTTCTATCTGTGTGAGACAGCATTTCCCAATAAAATACACTAGAAAAGTAAGGCTGAAAGAAAAAGATAATCGCAGCTGAAATGCATGGCAGGTAGGTTGAATGAGACTAACGTGAGATGAAAACATGGAGTAAGACAAGAAAAAGTAGAAAAACTGTGAAGAAAAGATGTGGCAGAGGGAGATAAGGCAGTGAGGTGGAGAGAGGTGTCAATGTGACAGAGAAGAGGAGTGCTGAGTCAAAGTTATGATAATGAGACCAGGGAGAGAAAGAGGCAGCCTGCCCCTTGATCCAGCTGCAAATTCATCTCCACAACTTGGCAGCACAAACATTCACATTCAAAAATAACAGCACAAGAAACCACAACTGAGTCAAACTTAAAACTGCAACGTTAATCTCTATAAGCCACAAAGAAACGATTATCCCAGAGGAGAAAACAGTACATGTATTCAAGTCTCCAAGGGTTTCATATTGCTTTATGAGCACTTTGTGGGCTACTCTATCACTCATTGTCATATCCCTAATTTAATTTCCTCAAATTAAACAAAAACTTGTTCCCAGATAAAGAATGTGTTGTCTGCAAAATTATAAATAGGAGCAGGGACATTGCCAAAAGTATGAATACGGACAGATTTACAGCATAGTCAGTGAATGCAGGATTTGTGACTTAGCGAAGGAGTAAATCCTAGCAACAAAATTATAATTTCATAGCATATGAAAAGATCAGCAAGCAGGCTTGTAATTGTTTATCTCATAATACTGTATTGCTTTAAGCCAAAATTGTACTTTTTAATTTTTGTTTCATTGTATCAAGTAGCATCTTTACTAGTACTAGGTACTAGTTAGTTAACTAGCTATACCATGCAGGTATTTTTTCCAGTAATTGCTGAAACTTTTCATCACCTATTTAGATAGGTGGTGCTAGAGGAAAAGTCAGGGGATCAAGAATGTCATTAGGGTTTATCCTCTGGGGACCATGCCTGTCTAAACCAAATTTTGTGCCAATCCATCTGATAAATGTTGAGATGCTTTACGCAATAAGGGGAAACTTTTACCTGTTGGTAGCACTAGAAGAAAATCCATGGGAATCAAAGTCATTATGATCTATCTTTTGGGTACCATTGAGATACAATACCAGATTTCATGTCAATCCGTCCGAAAGGTTTTTCACTAAAAATAATATTGAATCGAATATATCAGCTTCATGTTGTCGCTTGAGGAACAGTCAGTTGATCACGAAAGTTAGTAGGCGTCATCCAGTGGGAACCATGATCGTCTGTGCCAAAATTCATGGCAATCCATTCAATAGTTGTTGAGATATTTCAGTCTGGACCAAAGTGGCGGACCCGACGACCGGCCACGCTGCCACCCCTAGAGCAGTGTACAGTGTATAATAAAAACTGAGGATACTGCTTGTGACATTAGGGCCAGTGGAGTTCAGCTTGACTTTTACCCCACTGTGCTGCGTGTGATACTCCATTTCTTAGTATGGGAAACAGTGGATAATTATCTCTGGAGATAGGTTCCCTGCACCATTACCGCAAGTCTGTTGTTACTGTAGCCATCAACACCAACCTTGCACAGAAGCAGAGACAGTAAATACATCAGCCAGTCACATAAGTTAATTACTAAGACCAAGATTCAACCACAGACCGGATTTTACGGGGGAACAAAGTTAGCAGCCACCAGTATAATGTTAGTGGGTGGAGTCACGGGAGGAAGCGAGGCTTGTTACCGGGTGTGTGTCAGGGCTAATTTTCCAAGAGAATGACTGTGATTGTGTGTGGTTGTGCACTCTGGTGCTTGTCGAGGCATTTCTGTGGTACAATCAGTGACACTGCGATGTGGCTATTTCTGGTGTGTGTATGAGGAGGGGGGAAAGCCTGCAGCTCTTTCCTCGCTTATTTACCCCCCACTCTTTTTTCCTTGGCTCCCTTTCTTTCCCTGTCCCTCTATTTTCTCAGCAGGGGAGCTGTTGGATGTAGATAAGTCCCCAGACAGCCGAAACAACAGGGAGCCAGAGAGAAAGAGAGGGTTACTGTCTTGTCTAGTAACAGCTTACGTCACAGTGCGCTCAGGTTAATGGGGTATAATGTGACTGATGGAGAGAAAAACTGGCTTTAGGCTTATTCTGTTACACATTCTTAGTAAAGAAGTAGTAGAGAAATTATTGTGAGGGCCATGAAAATGTCTTCCTGGATCTACAGTACATATTTTAACCAATAAAGGCAGACTTTGTCATACTTTGCTAACCAATGCCCCTGTTCTCTCCTTGGCAGGTTTAAACAGATGATCCCTAAACTTGACCCCCCTCCACCCTCCCTGAACCGCAAGCGGGCCAGCAGGACCTTGTCTCCGGGGGCAGACGTCACAGCTGCGTCCACACCAGGCGAGGTCACCGCTAATGATGTGGCCCCCAGCCGCAGCAGCAGCCTCTCATTCCCAGACATCACCCCCAGCTCGTTGTCGTCCGCTGATTTCCACTCGCTTAGCAACGGCGGCGAGAGCAGCTCCTGCTCGGCCAGCGAGGACTCGGGCGTTCGCTCTGAGACCAAGTCCCTGCTGTCGCCGCTGCGCGACGACGACGACCTGTTCGGGGACCGCGGGACGTTTCTGACGGCCTCCAGCGGCTGTAACAGTCCCTTGGAGGAGAGATGCGAAGCGGTTCTCTCTTCCTCCGAGTCATATCCTGCTGACCCCCCCACCCTCGTCACACATTCGGACACCTATGAGCACCCACTGCCCTTCACGTCTCCTATGAATGATACCTGCCTTCACATCAGTTTCTCTGAGGATGAGCTGCTGGAGAGCAACCAGGAAGACCCAAATGTCCCACAGCGGAGTTAGGAGGGCGAGCTGATGGGCCCCTGGAGACCCTTTTCACCGTGTCCATCAATCAGCTTTTAATGCAATACTTACTGTCAGACTCTCCTATGTTTGCACTGGGCTCCATTTCAGGACCTTTAATTATTCCGTCCACTTGTGACACAGTACAGACATAGCATATAGCAGAAAAATAATCTTATCGTATAAATTATTAGCCAATGGACAGATTTAGTATTTTTGTAATGAATTAATGATCTAATTTACTTTTTAGTGACTAGAATGTTAAGCAGAATACATGTAGCAATTCTTGCACTGTTAAGGTCACACGTAATTTACTGTAGAATTCAAATGAGGGAACACATTTTATTTTTGCTAGTAGTCTACATTTAAACTTTTGTTTTCTATGATGCTTCGCTGTGGTGCAAACTATTGTGGGAAATATGATTTTCTGGAGATTTGATACACAGTGATCATGCAAATGTTTGGTGATGTTGGGAAGAGCCTCGCCGTCTGTACTGCACCTGACTGGATTAAGGGTGGAAAGAAAAGAACAAGAAAGTCAGTTAAAGGAAAAATGGAGGATAGAAATGAGCAGATCTAGTTTATTTGTTTTGTTTATGCACATCCATTTGTGACTGTGCACAAATGGATTTTTTTATTACCAGGGTTGAGTGGATTTTAGAATGTTTTGTGCTACGTGTATTTTGAGGTTTTCACACTTGTGAGCCCCTAAGGCAGTGCTGTAAAAATGAGGGGAATAGCCAAACTTGTGTATTGCATTTATTCTGTCGATAGCACAGTTGTAAGCCTTCAAAACAAAGGAATTTCCATTTTTTTTCTCCAATTTAAAATATTTTAGTTTTGAGAAATGGCACAGAAAGAAAGCAAACCCTCAAAAAGTCGACACAATGAGCCATAAAAGCTTTGCACCTGTCTGAGTGGGAGTCTGTTATAAAATGAACCCTCAGACTCAATAGGAAGATAATTGTGTAATCATGGAGAAAGACAGCTTTGCGGATGGATTTTCTCTGTTCTGTCTCTCACTTTGTGAAATCCTGAATAACCAGCAAGTCAGTTTCATTTAGAGCTTTCAGGAGAAATTACCCTGACATTGTATATTTATTGTTTTTAGTGAGTGCAGTTTAATCCGACCGTTGGGAACATTGTTTTAGCTTGATTGGTGTATTTCAGTATAGAGCTACAACAATTAGTCGATCAACAGAAAATGTTGATAATCTATTAATAGTTTTGAATCATTTTTTGGTGTTAATATTTAATGTGAAGTGAATATCTTTGGGTTTTCGGACTGACATCTCTGACATTTTATAGATTAAACGATAAATCGACAGAGAAAATGATCAGCAGATGAATTGACAATGAAAATAATCATTTGTTACTGCCCTATAGCTAAACATGCAGCTATTCAAATGTTCTTTTTAAAATTTGTTTACATGCAAGTGGTAAGGTATTACTGCACTGTTAATAGTTTTGTATTTAATTAAGCGCACTGGTGTAATCTCTGACAGGTAGAAGCGTCAATAAATGGATGAACTAGGAAAAAGGAGCAGAGCTGTGACAAGAGGTGGTGGTGTCAAGGTGCAGGTGTAAAATGCCCACAGGCAAAGCTTTTAACACCCAGAAACGAGGCTTTTCTCAACATCACATGTGGCAGGGAGCTTTAACAGCAATAACAGCGTGGAAGAAAAAAATAATAAAGAGGAATAGTTGACAAACTTCAACATTTACAGTGTTTTTTTCTTTTCCCCACAAATTTGTATCCAAGGTATGTGTGTATTATATGCAGACAATATCACACTCTTCTTTATGTGATCTTGCACACAGGATAATGACAGAAAGTGAAGACGACTGCGCATGAAGGTATTCAAAGGTACCACTGCTCACTGACCTGCTTAAATTACCTGTCACTGCATGGTTCTTTGTTACATGTCTTCTATGTAATTTCCCATAACCACAGCAGTGTAAACATCATTTTATCCACTGATAAATGCACTTTGAGGAGATCAGGTTTCAAACTGCAAAAAGCATTCACATATAGTATTAAAACAGGTAAAGCTGTGGAAATCATAGCATGCAGCTCACAGCTGGATTCAAACCACTGAGTAACAATGCAACCACATGTCCATTAAAGAACGAAACACTGTTCGCTTCATCTCTTTGGTTTGAATTGGAACAAGCATAGTCTGTCTGCCCTCCTCCTGTGCCCTTTTACTCTGCATTAATTATGTCTCCCTGCATTCACATTTGGTATTAAAAATTCATGTCTCTCAAACTCTTTCCCACATGCGTAACATTTTCGAGGCTCGCCGAGACTTTCCCTGAGTTGTTCTGCTCCTAGAAGGCGAGCTGTTTTTTCTCTGTTGTCCCCGAGCCTACAAAGCTCGCCTCTGCAGTCGCTTTAGTCGCTGCAAGGCAGGAACAGGTGACTGACAGGCTTAATTCGTTCAGGGCATCAGTGGGAAGCAGTAATGAGAATGGAGGCAAATAGGAAATCCTTCAGCTCTATGGTGTTAGAGCTGTTATTTCTCTTGCAGCGCTCTGATCTCAAGAGTACAAACACCACCTCTAAACAAGAGAATTGATGAAGTGTGTGGGGTTTTTTATTTGTGGCACAGGGTTTCTTCCTGTGTGCCTTCATCCCCTCTTTGAACTTGGAATTCCCCAACTGGCTAATCAATAATGCAGGGTGTCTGTGTGGCTCAGGAAAGCAGGAGCTACTCCCTCTTCTCTGGTTGTTTCTCTCCAGAGAGGTGGCCTCCATCTGAGCCTGTTCAATACCAGACTGCGTCTGATCTGCGATCAATCCAATGTACCTCCAAAGAGCCACATCGCAGCTTGACGCCGACTGTTAACCTTCGCTCTGTGGCTTCACATAGCTGCTTAAAGTAGATGGCCATCGTCCTTTATGTGCCCATTAATGCTGCTGAAAAGTCATTAGTCTTTGTATAGACAGAAGCGAATCACTGTCAGTGATCAAAGCTTTGTGTGTGAGGCTGGTGATCACAGACACGGGGGTTGCACTCAGAGCATATGCCAGTTCATTTTAACAGCTGCCAGTGGAAATGAAGATAAGGCAGCAGATTAGGCTTTCTTGTTACTTTTTAGAGCTTTAAGATATTTTCGAAATCATTCAAAAATGCCTGAGCGCTACAATCTGATGGTTTTGACATCAAGGTAGAAATGTGCCAAACATGCAATAATGGATCACTGAGGATTATACATTATGGAAAAACATACAACACAAACAGTACACAATAATGCATATTTTGAAAAAGGATGGTGAGAAAATGAAAGCACATAATTAAACGTTCAGCTGATAATCTGGTTGTTATAGGGGAACCTCTCAGCTGCAGACAAAGAAGAGATGATACCACTGGGGCCATGGTTATGTTTCTTTTTAATGCAATTTTGTAAAGGCAAGTTTATTACTCAATCCCAAATCATTTCAGGACTATATTATCACTTAACATACTGTATTTATGATTATTTTCATACCAAGATTCGGAAAATCAAGTGACCAGTCAAAGGCAGAGAGCAACACAGAAGCAGCGTAACTGAAGGGGTGTAATGCCTTCATTTTAAACATTATTAGGGTGATTATTTTACAGCAGAAATATATATATATGTATACTCGGTTTTTTCACCTGACCTAAGACTAGCTGTAGCAACCTCACCAGCTAGTGTACCCTTGTTATAGCCTATAGAGCCCACAGATATCCACACTAGAGTGCACTGATTGTGATTTTTAACCCTACTTGTAGTCTTTTTTTTTACCTAGCTGTGTAGTCCCAGACCTGGCCAGCAAACTACATGATATATAATAGAGTAGCCTACTGAGAGAGTAAGTTAATATCTGTATGTTTGTTGGATTTGGTATACAGGTATATTAAACTCAAATTCTTCAGGCGTAGTGAAGCATCCCTCTCCGGCCCTGCCTGGAGTCTTGTCTCCCTATGTCATGGCTTTATTAGGAAGACAGTCATCTTAGATATGTAAACTTTGTCAGGCAGATGGATGGAGCTGGGAATAGGAGGAAACAGTGGTGGGACTGTGGAGACATGCAGACGGCAGGAAGAACAAGACTCTCAAGTAGATGCTAAGCCTTCACATTTGCAGTTTCTCAGTGGGTGGGTTTGTTTCTTTCTATGACAGGAGTGTATTTTGAAGTGCCTAATGCAGAATTTATTATTTCTCTCCTCTTCCTACATGTGATATTGTCACTAAAATGCACACACAAATACACAGTTTATCTGTTGTCTGTTTGCTATTTCTTCTTATCAGCCCGTAGCAAACTCGGTAGCAGGATAGACAGGCGTAAAAGGTTGTTTTGAGTGTTACTTGAAGAGCCCGTGAGGAACCTTGAGGGCTTTAGGTGAGGGGTGTCTGGAGTCGGGGCCCTAGAGGAGACACAATAACCCCTGGGTTCAAACAATTTCCTTTCCACAGAAATGTTTTCCTCTGCGGTCAAGTAAAGGAGAAGTAATACTTAGAGTATCCGCCCACCACTTTTATAATCTGCCCAAAAAGGTCAGCTACAGTTTTGAAAGCCAAGAAGCTCTTGTTTACACTTTGAGATTTAATACAACCTGGTCTTTCTGAAAAGCTAAATATAGTTTGTGATGACAAGACTGGAAAGTGATGTTTTTTTTAGCTAACAGGGTTTGTCCAAAGAAAGACACACTAACTCAATATGTTCAGCTAGTTGACAAGAGCTCAGCAGGAGATATTGCTTCAGAGCTGCTGCTTGGTCGGCCCACCGCTGACTGCTTTTGGGGGTTTGAAGCCGAGGCCAAGAGAGAAAGCTGAGGAGGTGGGTTGAAGTGTGTGATGTTCCTGTTGGCTATCAAAGAGCCCAGCTATGGTATACTGATGTGTTGAATATGAAGCTGAATGGTTAGCTCCAGTTCAGTAGTCCAGGACTCCAGGAAATGACCAACAAATAGTGCAGCACACTATCACCTAAACCACAATGTGCATTTTTTTATACTTTTATAGTTTTTTTGTACAGATAAAACAAACAAGATGTAATAATGAATTAATATTTTCAGCAACAGCAGTGAACACCCACGCAAAACTGTACACATAGAGCATCTTACAGGAAGAAATAGTAATAAAGTGTAGTAATTCAGAATAGGGTGAAGTCTTGGCAGTATGTGAGGACAAATAAAATGTGCATATGAAAACTGCAGAGAACTATTTGACTTGCATTGTGTGAATAACTATGTAAACATCATTTTGTTGGACGCAAAACATCCAGAGGGAGAATACGATAATTGATGGTTGTGCACAGAAAATAAGGAATATGGAATTACACCATAATATTATCTCTGGCAGCTCAGGCTGAAAAGCGTTGTGGTTTCTCCCAGCCGCTGTAGGCGATGGGCAGCAGCCTCATATCTCCACACAGAAGATCAGAGGAAAGAGGGAGGAGCAGGGAAGATTGCTGCATGTTATGTTGGAGTTAATATGGGGTCGGAGGTTTGGTCTTTGTGAGTATGGATGTGGTGTGGGGCAGAATAGTAATGTAGTGTTAGCCTTGAGCTGCCTGGGGAGATTTAACGTCACCATAGAGGTCCAAGAGGGAGTTTGTTCAGCTCTGATTATTTTCCGTCTGTGTTTTCACAACCTTTTAACCTTCACCAAGCTACAAGATGGAAACTTTAGGACTTTAATTAATCCTCTCACTTCAAAACATAAAAGGGAAAAAAATGTAGATGATTAAAACAGCCAATAAATATTACACTCCACCACTACCGAAGTATGTGATAACTCCACCAGCTTAAAGAGTTTATTGCTTTGTGTCTTGTCACAAGACCTCGGCTCTATCCTTGACTTTGTCCCTTGATTACATTTGGCATGACTGGTATATAGTCAGTTCTAAAAACACACAGGCTTTACTGAATGTAGAAAATACAATATAGAAAAGATTCTGATACATGATCATATGAGAATTTTGACAAAATTCTCTAATGCACCTTTTTTCTTTTAGTCACCATCTCCTCTCTAAAAGTCAACTCATTCGTGTGCTTCCTAAATACGTCTCAAATATTTTGGCTATCAGTGATCCAGTCATTCTCTGCTGCTTGAAGCTCTTATTTAACTATGTTTGTTTATCAGTTTCATCATCTTAGTTTAGTGCATTAGCACATCAGGATTTTCTAATTAGCACTAAATATAAAGGATAACATGTATTCAGTCATAAACCAAAGTAGGGGCCACAATTAAACCAACCTTATGTTGGTATTAGAGGAAAGGTCAAGGAATCATCAAAGTCATGAGGATTCATTGTCTTTTTTTATACATTAATAAAAGCATATGGACACTATATTCCATTTCTGCCAATAGATTCTCCTTGTAACACACTGGACCTTTAAATAACTACCACTCAGCAGACAACAGCCAGAGCCAACATTCTTGTTCTGCTCTTATTACCCACATGCCTCATTAGCATACAGCTCCCTGCAAATAGGTCTATTCAAATAATCACAAAAGGCAAAAAGATGACAATCCTGCCCATTTCAGAAAGCTTTGTTACATAAAGTCAATTAGCAGGTCACATCTCATCTCAGGGTGTAATTTGTAAGAATTTGACCTTTTTCCATTGGTTCCTCTTCTTTGCTTTGTGGTAAATGTTGGAGTGTTGTAGTCAGACTATTCAAGCATAACAAAGCCTTTATTAGAAAATTCTCTAAATCATTTTTTAACCTGTGACAGCCTCTTA